AATATAAAAGTATACAATATGTAATAAATATTCTAAAACTTTTATTAGTTTTACTGGTTTAAACTAACAATAAAGCTAAGTAACATGTTAATGAAAAATAAGTATTTTTCCAAATAAAAATATTTAGTAAGAAGAGTGATTGTTTTGCTTATTTTTGCAAATCTCTTTAATGTCTGGTTTAATGGAAGATTGCTGGATTCTTATATCGGCTTCTGTATTCAATCTATTGCAATATCTTGTTTTGGTTGGAGCATATGAAGAAAATCTGGCCTCACACAAGTATGTGGTTGGAAAAGGGAGGTACGTTTTAATAAGCAAGTAACGTTTTAGTTTTGACCTCACAGATCTCCTGAAAAGGTCATGGGTACACCCTACGGTCTGAGGACTGAATTTTGAGAACTCTTTCTGTAGGATATTGTGTGTTTTTATTGTGATTCATGTGCTGAATGCGTATTCATTTTATTAACTTTGTCTCAACCTGTGATTGCATAGGTGTAGGGAATGACCCAGTATGGAAATTTTGTCTTCCCATTTGTTTTTTTTTTAAATTTTATTAATTTATTTTGATTTATCAACAATCACTTCCATATGCTTTTGAGTTGAAAATTTTTCTCCCCCTTCCTCCACCCTCCCCAAGATGGCCCACAATATGATATAGGCTATACATTTACATTCCTATTAAACATATTTTCACATTAGTGAAGTTGTAAGTAAAAATTAAAACCAATAGGAGGAACCATCAGAAAGATGAAATAAAACTCCACAGAAGGTAAAAATAAGTGATAGCGATTCGACTTCCATAGTTATTTCTTTGGATGTGGACAGCATTTTCCATCCCGAGGCCTCTGGAGATGTCTTAGATCCTTGTAATGCTGAGAAGGGTTCAGTTTAACAATATTAGTCATCGCATAATGTGGCTGTTCTTGGTTCTTGGTTCTTCAGCAGCTCATTTGTAATTTATAACTTTAGAGATTTACTGTAGCTAGTAAATTTTCAAGATTAAGATTCAAACTCAGGTCTTCTTGACTCAACACTGCACTGTAATGCCTAGCTGCCAACCCATTCTTGCTTAGGTAGCAAACACACTCTGAGTAGTGTTCAGGAATAGATGTGATGATTTGTTATGTGTACCTTCCCTTTGCCTTTGTCTTTTTCTTGCCCAGACCTACCTACATGTCATTTTATTAATTCTCTCTCTGTGTCTATCTGTCTGTCTGTCTGTCTGTCTGTCTGTCTCTCTCTCTCTCTCTCACACACACACACACACACACACACACACGTTTATATATCACAGAATTGGAGAGTTTTAAGATTTTGGTGGCCATCTCTCTGATCTAACCCACCATACATGAAAGTAATCTTCACCGTAACATACTGGTCCAGCCTCTGCTTGAAGACCTCAAAAGAGGGAGATGATGGAGAACTTCCCATAAGACAGCTCATCCCACTTTTGTACAGCTCTGATTGTTAGGAAGATTTTCCTGATCTCAAGCATAAATTGGTATCTTTCCAACTTCCCATTTGTTCCTTCTGGGGCCAAACAGAACAAATCTAATCCTTTTTCTTTAAATGTTTGAAGACAGCCATTAGATGTCCCTTGAGTCTTTGCTTCTCCAAGCAAAATATTGTGAGCTCTTTTAACCAGTTCTTATATGACACAAACTCAAGGCCATTTTCCATTCTGGTTGTACTCTTTTGGATACTTTCTAGCTCATCAATACCCTTATTAAGCCATTGTACCCAAAACTGAGCACAAGACTCCAGAGGAACTCTGCTGAGGGTGGAGTATAGTGGACTCTCACTTTCCTGTTGCTGGAAGCCTCTTAATGCAGCCCAAAAACCAATTAGCCTTTTTGGTTGCCATAGTACATAGTAAACATCTGTTAAGTGTTTATTGACTGACTGACATCCCACTACTAATTAATAGTGAGCTTATAGTCCACTAAAAACTATAGATTTCTTTTTTTCAGAACTGGCCTCTAATGATGCCTCTCCCACTTTGAAATAATGGAGTTATTTTTTCTTTGAACCCAAATATAAGACTTTATATTTACCCCTATTTAATTTCATCTTATTAGATGAATTAGATTAAATAAGATAACAATTGTAAAGTGCTTAGTTCAGCAGTGCCTGGCATATAGTGAGATATAAATGTGGTGGTGGTGGTAATTGTTCTTATTAAATCCAATGCTCCTGGTTTGTCAGGATCCTCTTGGGTCCTGATTCTGTCATCCGCTGTGTTAACAACCCCTTCCAGCTTTTTGTCATCTGCAGATTTGATGAACGTACTGTCTACGTTTTTATCCAAGTCACTGATAAAAACTGAACAGCACAGGGCCAAGCACAGATACCTAAGGCACTCCACTAGAGACCTCTTCCCAATTTGACGTTAAACCACTAACAAATACTCTCTAAGTCTGGCCATCTAACAACTTCTGGATCTATATGATTGTATTATCTTTTAATTGATATCTCCCATTTTTCCACATGAATAAGCTTTGCTAAAATCTAGGTAACCCATGTCCATAGGATTCCTCTCATCTACTAGTTTAGCAATCCTGTCAGAAAAATAAATGAATTTAATCTAGCATGATCTGTTTTTTATCACACCATACTGGTTCTTTGTATTCACTTGTCTTCCTGGAAACTGTCCTTATACAATTTGGCTGTGTGAAGTTGAAGGAGCACCTGTTCACCCTAATATGGTAGTTTGTAGATTAGTTTGCCTTAATTGAGTTGACTTTCTGTACCTGTATTGTTAAGTTTCTTCAAGGCAAGTGATTATATCTTATCCATTGGTGTTTCCCATAGTCTCTTACAAATAATAGGAATTCAGTTCTAGTTATTTGATTAATTGACTAGGATATGCCCTAGGAAGTTCATTGGTACAGGGAGTTCCTGGAAGGGGATATACTTTCTGCCAAAGCAGGACACATTGCAGGTGCTTAATAAATGTTTATTGATTGACAGTGCCTTCTTTACAAATTAATAAATGTTTATTGATTTTTAGTGCCTTCTCTACAAAATATGGTCTTAGTGAGATGCATGGAGCAGAGGTGTCACACTCAGGGCCGTGGGGGCCCCTAACACTCCTGAATGTCTCTGAACCAGATTAAAATATAATTGGGGAATATTTGACAAAATAAAAATATAATAAAACAGATACTCTTACACTGAGTCGATATGCTGCCTGAAGAGGGATCCTTATGTGCAGATTAGTGGTCCCCATTTCTAAGTGAGCTTGATGTCACTGATTTAGAGCCCTGAGGATAAATGGCTTGCTCAGAGTCACATAGCCAGTATATGCTGCGGGCAGGACCTGAACATAGGTCTTCCTGACTTGGAGGCGAGCTAGCTGTTTACTACTTCAGGATGCTTTTCTTCTACCAATAAATATAATACAAACTAGAACATGATCAATGTGTGTGTGAAGATCTTAAAGTACTGTGAGATCAGGTTGAGCAAAAATGGTTTCCAGTTTAGAACATCAAGGAAGGCTTTATGGAAAAGATGGCATTTGAGTTCTGGTCTCAGAATCACTACATTTCTTGAAAATTGGCATGTTAGGGGCAGCTAGATGGTGCAGTGGATAGAGCACCGGCCCTGGAGTCAGGAGGACCTGAGTTCAAATCCGGCCTCAGGCACATGACACTTAATAGCTGTGTGACCCTGGGCAAGTCACTTAACCCTGATTGCCTCACCAAAAAAAAAAAAGAAAAAGAAAGAAAATTGGAATGTTAGAAATGGATCACCTTGTCTATAGCATCTGCTTTCCCTCTGCCGCAGTTCAATTTAATTTAACAACGTTTTTGGACTGTTTACTACATTTAATGCCATGAAGGCCACATAGTTGAATAAGACATTGTCCCTACATTCAAGGAATTTACAATCTAATAGGGGAGAAGAAACAGGTACAAAAGTAACTATCTTCTTTTTAATTTATATTATACTTTGGAACTCCCAACTTTAATTTCCAGAAACTCTCCTGTATTCCTACCCCCTCCTTCCTTGGGTGAGGTGGCAACATTTTGAGATACACTGAAATTTTATTGAAGGGGGTGGATCACTAATGGTTTAGCCATTTGTGGTATAGCACTACTCAATGGATCTCTCTGTAGAAACATGAGTGGGTCCTCTGTCCTGTGAGGGTGGTGAAGTAGAGAATCATAGTTCTGTTAGTATTATTTAAGCCTTCTTTTGTGCTAGCATAACAATAGATACAGCAAGCAATACCTGCAAGGATGTTTCAAAGTCAAGTCCTTGACCTCTATGATCAATAATTGTCTCTACATGTATGCTCTGTATCCTGACATAGGAGTGTCATCATACTTCTGTAAGTTTTTCATTTCCTTGGTCTGGAAAAGAATTTTAAAGGTATTAGTTGGCACAGTGGGACAGAGTAATGGGCTTGGAGTCAAGAAGTGCTGAATTCAAACTTATTATCTGTGTAACCTTGGGCAAGTCATTTGAACTTTTCCAGTCTCAGTTTCTTCATCTCTAAAATGGGGATAATACTATCACTTACCTTACAGTATTGTGGTAAGGATCAAATAAGATAACACATGTAAAGCATTTTCCCAACCTTAAAGCACTACAGAAATGCCATCTGTTATGTTATATTCCCTTTAGTTGGGATAGAAATAGTCTTTGGTGAGCCACTTTAAGTTTATGAGTGCTTATAATTTTTTAATCGAGGACTTCCTTCATCTAGTTAACATTTTCTACATCTTCAGTGCTAGCTTGGTTTGCCTCTACATCCATAAAGGTCTCAGCTATTGGTCTAATGCTTTCAGCTTCAGAGAGTACAATCTCAAGGGAAAATTTCTCCCATCAGCCAAGTACGGAATGAAGCTTCTCCTTCAGGTGGTGTTTGAGCAGCAGGGTACTTGGTGGCAGTGAGGGATGGGGCCATCCTGCAGAGGCTCAGCCCATCCCAGCCCTGTGAGGGAAGTGTGGTTTCTAGCAATGTAACCTTTCTGTTGCATCTTTTGTTTCCACAGTGAGAGAGAAACGTAAGAGCCTCTTCATCAACCACGTAAGTGAAACTGCCTCCTCATGTTCTTCCTGGGCAAGTGCTTACACTCATAGCTAGTCACTCATAGCTGAAAACCTTAATAATGATGTTTCCTGTTGGTTAAAACTTAATTGTCATGCTTTGATGCTACCTAAAAGATTGCCAATGGTGCTGAAATGTACTTGCTCTTCTGTTTTTTTAGTGACTGTCCATACTCAGTGTGTATACTGCATACATGTTTTACATACAGTATACTGTTTCTTCATGATAGAACATGTGTGAATATCCACTCCAGTGATACCATGGCCTTCCAGTGAAAGCCTTTCCCTCCCTTCCTTCCTTCTTTCCTTCCTTCCTTCCTTCCTTCCTTCCTTCCTTCCTTCCTTCCTTCCTTCCTTCCTTCCTTCCTTCTTCCTTCCTTCCTTCCTTCCTTCCTTCCTTCCTTCCTTCCTTATCCCATTTGGAATAGAAACGTTCCTTGATCCAAGATTTTGATTCTTCTCCTGCACCTCTCTCCCCTAGAGTAGTTCTTAGTGGACTCAACAATTACAAGGGTCCTTTTGTTACTAGAAGGAAAAGTTCATTCCACAATACCCTGTTTTAAAAGGCACCCCCAGCTGTGCTGGCTCTGGCTCTGACTTGGTCCAGTTCAGCAGGGAGTATTTCCTTTGACTCTGTCCTTCCTACAGGCCCAAGTGTAGCTGCAACCAGGTATAGGTGTAGCTTGCAAACTGTAGGACTCTAGCTCCAGCTTCACTGGGATGCCCCATTGTGCACCATGCTGAGGTGTTTGGGCTTTCCCTAAAGCCCTCAGGAGCATGGAGGGAGCCCTGATGTCAGAAGCAAGTTGTGACCATCACCCCCCACTTCTGCCCTTTAAATATGTAGAATTCTTTTCAAAAAGTCCCCAAAAGCTGCCAGGTTTTTAGGAAGGGAAAATTAACATAGATGTTTATAAATATTCCCGTGGAGGATTATGGGATATATATTCCACTTGAGAAAGGATTCTTCACTTTAGAAAAGTTCTCATTGGTTGTTTTTTGAAATAGTAGCAGCTGTAGTATTTCTAAGCATTTCTGTACAGATTCTTAACTACTCACTGAGAAGATGGGAGTAAACTTTAGGTTACAATCTTAGAAAGAAAATACCAATTGAACTATAATGATTTTTCAAAAATCATCTCTGATATTGGAATATAGGCCACTGGGGAATGGTTTGTAAATGATTTACACATATCTGTTTATGTATATGCCTTTCTTTAAAGCAAAGTATTTTTGCATAGTCAGCTCTTGATGATGGGATCTAATGATCCCAACTCTGCTTCTCTTTCTCTTTTCTTTTGTTGAATTTTGGGCATTTCACTGATTATCACCACGTCCCCCTATAACAAAGGAAAGTGATAGAATGAAAACTTAAACCATTCTGTATGTGTGTGTATATTGTTTATGAATAGTACTATTTAAAAGCTCCATGAAAGAAGAACTTAGTTCTTAGAATTATTCATGCCATCCTTTCTATCCACTCCCATCATCCTAGATTTTAAATACTTAACTATACACAAATCATCGGTTTTGAAGTCAGAGGTTAGGAATTTCATGCTTGGACTTGTTATTTACTAGTTGTATGACCTTGAGTAAGTCATTTAATTTATCTATGCGTTAGGTTCTTCATCTATACAATGGGAATAGTATTCAAACTATGTACCTCATAGAGCTAACCTAAGTATCTTGTAGACATTAGGGTATTATATCAGTGTAATTTAATAACTTTGTATGGATATATTTATTTGCCCACCTCCTCATTTCTCTTCCATGGTATTTTCGACTGGGATAATTATCTCTGACCATTATCTTTGCCTCTTATTTAATAAACAGCCCTACCACTTGTCACTGAAGAAACTTCTGCTTATAGATGGAAACTAGCAGAAAATATTATGCCTATCCCAAGTGTAGCTCAGAGCCCTATATTCTATGTCTTTGGATGAAGCCAAGAATCTCTTGTCTGTATTAGCTCATTGAGTTCTGAACTCAGAGTCAGGAAGATCTGTTAGAATTCTGCCTCAGACACTTACCAGTTGTGTAACCCTGGTCTCGTAACCTCTCTGTGCTTCAGTTTCCTCATCTGTAAACTGAAATTTGACTCAGTGGCCTCTCTGAGATCCTTTCCAGCTTTGATGCTGTGATTTCAAATAAGAGTAAAATGCCATTGTCTTTGAGGTCTATACAAATTCAGTTGAGCCTATGTACTATATAGCAAGTCTCTATGTTAGGTCCCATATATAGGCACTGGTCTGTTTGTAGTTGGACACATCTACCTGCAAACAAATCTGGCTGCAGGTGGGTTTGGCAACTCCACCCATTTGGGCATAAAACGCTAAAGCCCATTTAAAATATTGAAATATCAACACAGTTTGAAATAAGACATTCTTTCATCCATCCAGCATTCATTCAAGTGACATGTGTTAGCACTGGTGGCAGGCAGAGCTCTGTGCTGAGCACTAGGAAAGATAAAAAGTTTAGAAAAGACATTCCCTGCCTTCACGAAGCTTACAGTCTACTAGACTGTTGGGGGCAGGGTTTAAGAAACAATCATGAGTAATAGAAGTATTATTACAGGAGAGCTGCAAAACAAGTTATTATATTAGGTCCTTTTTGTATTTAGTATTGGAAATTGTAAAATTGGAGTTTCATTAAGGACAATAAAACAGCGAAGTGGGTTAGAGATGGCTTGTAAAATGTTCAGACTTAGAGAAATCAGCTTTAGTGAGTTGGAAGATAGAGGTAACTAATGACCCTCAGGAAGACAGACATGAGTTCAGATCTGACCTTGGACACTTAATAACCCTGTGACCCTAGGCAGGTCACTTAACTTGTTTGCCTCAGTTTCCTTAACTGTAAAATGGGGAAAATAGTAGCACCTAGCTTATAGGGTTTTTATGACTATCAGATACTTGTTTTAAATAAAAAAGCATATGGCATGTAAATTCTTATTTCTTTCCTCAAATATAGAAAAAAAAAGAGTTACTGTTTCCATACATTTGGACTGTGTGGGATTTTGTTTATTTAAAGTCAGAGTGAATGATTCTCTTGGTCTTTATAACCTAACAGCCAAATAACTCAAGTATATTATATTACATATAGCAAAGTACTTTACATAATGTACTTGAATTTGTCTTTTGTGAAATAATATTTTGAAATTTTTTTACTTTGTTATAGGAATATAATTAGTTTTCTGTTCAAATGGTCTATTATTGTCACTTTAAATTATCTGTCTGAAACAAGTTTCTAAAGAAGCCAGACTGTGTCGCTAAGGGCAGTCTGAGCTGTGCTGTTAAATAAACTCAAGGATTGTACATAGATAAGCTGAACAAGAGGAGAGAGATTTGTTCTGTTTCTTACCCTGAAGAGTGAGTACATGGAAAAGTAGACTTTTGTGATTGGAGGAAAGGAGGCATGAAGTTTTACTGTTCCTAAGGAACAGATTCCTCTTTCCCTTTTCAATTTACTTGAACTCTTATTTTAATAAAGTGAATTTTTAAAGTTTAAAGTTGGACATCTGTAATTTTAACCTGGGTGAGCTGAAGCAGAAAGCTACCATTTTAAGTCTGAGGAAAAACCTACATCTTGTGTTGTATAATCCTGGCACCCTTCCAACAGTTGGTGGGATTATATCTGAAATGTAGTTGTAGTAACGCATATCAACCTTTTAAATGCTGAAACTGCATAACAAATCATAAAGTGACAGCTTTTTGGCAGCCCCAATTTGGGGATTTTTTCCTCAGGGACCCTTTAAAATGAAAAGGGCATTCTCCAAAACTGTTTTATCTCCCTTTCTGCAGCCATTCAGGAAGGTAGGTAAGAAACTTGCCTCTCTGAAGTACTTACTTTACTGTAGGCTAACTGGTCATCCTCAGAATTTGCAAGGGAGCCAAGTAACCTTCATCCTGTGTTTATCACTCTTTGGCCAACTCCAAAATCTGCTTAGAGAGTCTGATGTAATTATTTTAATTTATTAGCTTTGTCCTTTTGGGTTTGACTGAATTAAAACCCATTTTTCTGAACTCAGCCTGTGAGTTTTCAGATAAGTGAGGTGTGGGCTAAACTTTCTTACAAAAACTTTGATTCTGTTGGACTCCTGGTTCAACTAGTCTAGTCACTGGCGTGTGATCCCTGAAGTCTCTTACTGCATCTCATATTTAATGATTAGGAAAAAATAAATAAAGCAAAGTAATAGTGAGAATTGATGTTGGAAGTGCCTTGCCTATGCTCACACTCAACCAGTAAGTGTCAAAGCTGGATTTGGGACCCAAGGGGTCTCTGACTCCAAGTCTGGATTATCTTCTGTTAAATCAGACAGCATTATCATCCCCATTTACAGATAAGGAAACTGAGTCTCAACAAAGGTAAAATGAGCCTTTCTCATGGACTTAAAGCTAATAAATGCTAAAATTTAGATGGGAACCTGTCTGTCATGATTCTTGTCCTTCCAAGCCCTGTACTCTTCACTACATCAGGTCTCTTAAGTGCACCGAATATGCTGAATTCCAGAGAAAATTACTGAGGGGAGGATATAGAAACTATTTAATTTGATATATTTGAAAATTGGATTTAAATGTGCCATGTGTATTTTGTTTTTGTTTGTGGCACCTAGCATGTGGTATTCTTTCTTGTTTTAAATGTTTATTGATATCTCTTATTTCATATCATCTTCATTTCCAAATATATCCTCCTTTCCACAACTTAACAAATTGTTACTTCTAACAAAGATGCATATGCAATGTAGTCCACCATCTCTGCAAGTCTACCGTTTGGTTTTGTGTAAAGAACGTTAATTGGATTGAGAGTCAGGAAACCCATATTGTGATCCCAGTTCTGCCATAAGTTGTGTCACCTTAAGCAACTTTTCCCACTTTTTTGGGTTCAGTTTCTTCATTTGTAAGATTAATGAGCCTAATTTTAAATGATCCAGAAAGTGCCTTCCCACCCAAAAATCCTGATTGATTGTTAGGTTTTTAATATGTA